CAACATGTCTGCATTTCAAAAAGTGAGCAACCATAAAATACAGGGGGGTTCTGACAATCCTGCCAAAAAGATGGCCGAAAAATCAAACTGAAACTAGCAGCCACCAGCTAGCAGCCGACATGGACGAAACATAGAAGATAGGGTCCGGGCCCTATATTTTTTAAAAATTAGAATTTTTCGTTTAAATAATATTAAAAATTAACGTGACAAGTTTTGTTACCTTTATCTCCTCTCCTAAAAATATAATTTTAATAAATTGTTGAAACTGAAACTAGCAGCCGACATTCTCTTGAGACAATTTTTTTTTTTCAACTAAACTATTAGAGTATCTTGGCTGAAATTACTTCCACTGTTTCTTCACCCTAAAAAGAAGTTTTGAGGAAAATTTCAGCAAGTTCGTATGTCTAGGAGATGAGATACAGCGTTTTAAACAAAAAAAATATTCTCCTGAGAAAAAAATTTTTTTTGAAACTAAACTTTTGGAGTATCTTGGCTGAAATTACTTCCACTGTTTCTTCACCCTAAAAAGAAGTTTTGAAGAAAATTTCAGCAATATCGTATGTCTAGGAGATGAGATACAGCTTTATAAACAAAAAAAAAATATATTATCCTGAGAAAATATTTTTTTAAAACTAAACTTTTAGAGTATCTTGGCTGAAATTACTTCCACTGTTTCTTCACCCTAAAAAGAAGTTTTGAAGAAAATTTCAGCAATATCGTATGTCTAGGAGATGCGATACAGCTTTTTATAAACAAAAAAATATTCTCCCGAGAAAATATTTTTTTACAACAAAACTATTAGAGTATCTTGGCTGAAATTACTTCCACTGTTTCTTCACCCTAAAAAGAAGTTTTAAAGAAAATTTCAGCAATATCGTATGTCTAGGAGATGAGATACAGCTTTTTAAACAAAAAAATATTCTCCCGAGAAAATATTTTTTTACAACTAAACTATTAGAGTATCTTGGCTGAAGTTACTTCCACTGTTTCTTCACCCTAAAAAGAAGTTTTGAAGAAAATTTCAGCAATTTCGTATGTCTAGGAGATGAGATACAGCGTTTTAAACAAAAAAAAAATATTCTCCTGAGAAAAAATTTTTTTTGAAACTAAACTTTTAGAGTATCTTGGCTGAAATTACTTCCACTGTTTCTTCACCCTAAAAAGAAGTTTTGAAGAAAATTTCAGCAATATCGTATGTCTAGGAGATGAGATACAGCTTTATAAACAAAAAAAAAATATATTATCCTGAGAAAATATTTTTTTAAAACTAAACTTTTAGAGTATCTTGGCTGAAATTACTTCCACTGTTTCTTCACCCTAAAAAGAAGTTTTGAAGAAAATTTCAGCAATATCGTATGTCTAGGAGATGCGATACAGCTTTTTATAAACAAAAAAATATTCTCCCGAGAAAATATTTTTTTACAACTAAACTATTAGAGTATCTTGGCTGAAGTTACTTCCACTGTTTCTTCACCCTAAAAAGAAGTTTTGAAGAAAATTTCAGCAATTTCGTATGTCTAGGAGATGAGATACAGCGTTTTAAACAAAAAAAAAATATTCTCCTGAGAAAAAATTTTTTTTGAAACTAAACTTTTAGAGTATCTTGGCTGAATTTACTTCCACTGTTTCTTCACCCTAAAAAGAAGTTTTGAAGAAAATTTCAGCAATATCGTATGTCTAGGAGATGAGATACAGCTTTTTAAACAAAAAAATATTCTCCCGAGAAAATATTTTTTTACAACTAAACTATTAGAGTATCTTGGCTGAATTTACTTCCACTATTTTTTCACCCTAAAAAGAAGTTTTAAAGAAAATTTCAGCAATATCGTATGTCTAGGAGATGAGATACAGCTTTTTAAACAAAAAAAAATATTCTCCCGAGAAAATATTTTTTTACAACTAAACTGTTAGAGTATCTTTGCTGTAATTACTTCCACTATATCTTCACCCTAAAAAGAAGTAGTGAGGAAAATTTCAGCAATATCGTATGTCTAGGAGATGAGATACAGCTTTTTAAACAAAAAAAAATATTCTACTGAGAAATTATTTTTTTACAACTAAACTATTAGAGTATCTTGGCAGAAATTGCTTCCACTATTTCTTCACCCTAAAAAGAAGTTTTGAGGAAAATTTCAGCATGTTCGTATGTCTAGGAGATGAGATTCAGGTTTTTAAACAAAAAAATATATTCTCCTGAGAAAAAATTTTTTTACTACTAAACTATTAGAGTATCTTGGCTGAAATTACTTCCACTGTTTCTTCACCCTAAAAAGAAGTTTTGAAGAAAATTTCAGCAATATCGTATGTCTAGGAGATGAGATACAGCTTTTTAAACAAAAAAATATTCTCCCGAGAAAATATTTTTTTACAACTAAACTATTAGAGTATCTTGGCTGAAATTACTTCCACTGTTTTTTCTCCTAAGAAAAAAATATTTTCTTAGGAGAATATTTTTTTTTTGTTTAAAAAGCTGTATCTCGTCTCCTAGACATACGAACATGCTGAAATTTTCCTCACTACTTCTTTTTAGGGTGAAGATATAGTGGAAGTAATTTCAGCCAAGATACTCTAAAAGTTTAGTTTCAAAAAAAATTTTTTCTCAGGGTAATATTTTTTTTTTTGTTTAAAACGCTGTATCTCATCTCCTAGACATACGAAATTGCTGAAATTTTCTTCAAAACTTCTTTTTAGGGTGAAGAAACAGTGGAAGTAACTTCAGCCAAGATACTCTAATAGTTTAGTTGTAAAAAAATATTTTCTCGGGAGAATATTTTTTTGTTTAAAAAGCTGTATCTCATCTCCTAGACATATTGTTGAAATTTTCTTCAAAACTTCTTTTTAGGGTGAAGATATAGTGGAAGTAATTTCAGCCAAGATACTCTAACGGTTTAGTTGTAAAAAAATATTTTCTCGGGAGAATATTTTTTTTTGTTTAAAAAGCTGTATCTCATCTCCTAGACATACGAACTTGCTGAGATTTTCCTCAAAACTTCTTTTTAGGGTGAAGAAATAGTGGAAGTAAATTCACCCAAGATACTCTAATAGTTTAGTTGTAAAAAAATATTTTCTCGGGAGAATATTTTTTTGTTTAAAAAGCTGTATCTCATCTCCTAGACATACGATATTGCTGAAATTTTCTTCAAAACTTCTTTTTAGGGTGAAGAAACAGTGGAAGTAATTTGAGCCAAGATACTCTAAAAGTTTAGTTTCAAAAAAAATTTTTCTCAGGAGAATATTTTTTTTTTGTTTAAAACGCTGTATCTCATCTCCTAGACATACGATATTGCTGAAATTTTCTTCAACACTTCTTTTTAGGGTGAAAAAATAGTGCAAGTAATTTCAGCCAAGATACTCTAATAGGTTTGTTGTAAAAAAATATTTTCTCGGGAGAATATTTTTTTGTTTAAAAAGCTGTATCTCATCTCCTAGACATACGATATTGCTGAAATTTTCTTCAAAACTTCTTTTTAGGGTGAAGAAACAGTGGAAGTAATTTCAGCCAAGATACTCTAAAAGTTTAGTTTTAAAAAAATATTTTCTCAGGATAATATTTTTTTTTTTTGTTTATAAAGCTGTATCTCATCTCCTAGACATACGAAATTGCTGAAATGTTCCTCAATACTTCTTTTTAGGGTGAAGAAATAGTGGAAGTAATTTCAGCCAAGATACTCTAATAGTTTAGTTGTAAAAAAATATTTTCTCTCAGGAGAAAGATTATTTATTTTTTAAAAAAGCTTTATCTCATCTCCTACACATACGAAATTGATGAAATTTTTCCCAGAACTTCTTTTTAGGGTGAAGAAATAGTGGGTATAATTTCAGCCAAGATACTCTAATACTTTAGTTGAAAAAAAAAAATTGTCTCAAGAGAATGTCGGCTGCTAGTTTCAGTTTCATGCCGAAAAATGCTATGTTAACTCCATAGATTATGAAGGAGCCTGAGAGCCTCACCTGTTATTTATATTTTAAAAAATTTCATGTATTTTGTTTTAGTATGACAGAATCGTAATTTAAACTTAATTAATGTGGACACCAATATGTATGTTAAACTAATACGAATAAACAGAAAGAACAAATGACCAATATTGACCCAGTTTACAACTCTGCAATGTATGCTGAATTTTTCATGTCATACAGAATTAATGTTAAGTAGATTTAGTATTTTTTTTGTGTTTGTTATTGTTTTATTGTGCTATTGATTATATAAGTAGTTAAGATCTCTTTTACTGAAACACTGGATATTCCCAGTTCAGGCTATGTATTTTTCTTTACCTTTTGTGTTTTTTCTTAGATCTAAGATTAGATTAAAACAAAAAGGGTAGATACGGCACTAGCCTCACAAAAGTGATCCGCACAAATTGTGGTCCACGACCCTATTCACTTTAGTCACAACTTGACATGCAAACGACGTACATGTGAACGCCAAAAAGAAATATTGATAATATTTTGTGTTTATATGATAAAACAATGCCTAAGTATGTTTTTAAAAAGTGCTCAAATTGCTCAAGAACTAAAAATAAAACCCACGGCATCACTTTTCATTCGTAAGTACTATAAAATATATTTTTTCATAAAAATTGCTGTTTGTTTTGAATCTTATTCGGTAGTGACGTCGAGTACTGGTCGCGTGATTGGTCGGTAGTGCAGTGACGCGGATCTCGCCGTCTCGTTCGCGCTGCCGTTGAATGTTTCGCTCGGGTCGGTAATGCAGTGACGCGGATCTCGCCGTCCCGTTTGCGCTGCCGTGGGATCAGTTTTTGTTTGATGCAAGTATGAGCGTACCGTATCTACCCTTTTTGTTTTAATCTAAGGATCTAAGTCACTTTATGTAAAAATTTAGTTTGAATAAAATATTTATTATTTATTCAAAGAAATACTTACAGCATCCATAAAACTTGATCCATGGACCACCCTATCCTAACAATTTTATTTCAAGTAGTTTTTTTGAGGGAAATATATTTATATATATATAAATATATTTCCCTTATTTTTATACGTAGATGGCTGAGGTGGATCCAGAGACATTACTTGAATGGCTCCTGACTGGGCAGGGGGATGAGCGGGATATGCAGCTTATTGCTCTGGAGCAGCTCTGTATGTTGCTACTCATGTCAGATAATGTTGACAGGTGCTTTGAAAGGTAATAGAAGCATTCCGAAGTATTATGATATATCCTCTGTAGTTAAGTTTTCAATACATATCTATATAATTCTTGTACTGCCTTTATATATTGCAGTTGCCCACCAAGAACATTTCTACCAGCACTATGTAAAATATTTCTTGATGAATGTGCACCAGATAACGTATTAGAAGTTACAGCAAGAGCTATTACCTACTATTTAGATGTTTCCGGTAAGAGAAATTTGAAATAAGAATGAAAATTAATTTACGAACTACTTGTGTAATAAATCTGTACAATTTCAGCTGAATGCACCAGACGTATTGTTGCTATTGATGGAGCAGTGAAGGCTATTTGTAGTAGACTACTCACCGTAGATCCCAACAACCGAACTAGTAAAGATCTTGCTGAACAATGCATCAAAGTGAGTATAGATATATAAGAGTTTTGTAAGAAAGTTTTCTTTTTTGTTTGAGTTCTATCTACTGTCTTTCTCGTTATATCTATAACCCTCTCTACGTTCTTGACGAGGAGCTTTATTTTTGAATCACATATCTGACATAGTATCGTCGAATGCGACTTAGGTCACCTTCAACTTTCAAGTCGCATGATACTGATTTTCCGTATTTTTGAATCGTTCGTCACAGATGTTACTAGTTAGATGCGGAGTCTACCTAGACTCCGCATCAGCAGAAAGAGATAATGTATCTGGACGTTTTCTCACGTTAACGGATAACTAGAGCCGAGGTTCGAGGCTCAGAGACGCCCTCTAGTTGAGCCGACATTCAAGCTAGGGCGAGCGTAGAGGATAATCCCCAATGCTTGCGCCGAGAAAACCGCTAGAGCCAACCGCCATTTTTCGGTGAAGAACGCACGCATTAGGTTCTCGCCGCCTCAAAACCGGTGACGCTGTGAATGCTCGCCATAGCAGTACAAGCCTTTTTAGTCCATCATCTCTGCCTAAGCGTAAGCCAGACGATTCTCTAGATCACTCCACAAGCCGATTAAGAGAAAGTCGATTCCGTGGTTCCTGCCGCCCCCCGCAGTCTATCCGCCGCAGGCCATTGGCCCTAGAGTGAATGCGTCCCTGTCTATAATATAAAAAATTAAATAATAAAAAAACATTATGTAATCAGGTGTTGGAGTTGGTGTGTACTCGTGAAGCTGGCGCAGTGTGGGAAGGAGGCGGCTTGCCAACAGTCTTGCATTTCATTACGCACCATGGCACATCTGTACATAAAGATACGCTCCACTCAGCCATGGCAGTTGTATCGAGGTAATATTTTAATTATATTTTCAAAATATTATTTTATTAACACTTCCCAAAAACTAAGAGCTAATGAACAATAACATATAATATATGTGTATTATTATCAGTTTAATTTATTTCAGTCAATTACATTCACATTTATCTTACTATATTCTTAATGATAAAATTCAAAAATCATTTATTCATTTAGGCTTTTACAAGCACATGTGAAAGTCGCAAACTTTCACATAGTCGAGAACTACGCCCTCGGTTCGCAAAACCGAGGGCGAGCTACCTCATTTCCTGTCAAACATGTAATGTTCGTCGCTTCGGTACGGTCAACGGGTACGATAGGCTCGGGTTCACTCGAATTGATGCACACATTAAATAAGGTTTTTGAATCGACAACATATATCCACATGACTCGAATGATCACATATTTAAAATTTTATATTTTGATGGTTGTCATTGATTGAAATGCAAATAGAAAAATGACTATATTGCTTACTCGGATTATCGCGTATAAAAACGGACGGTCGTACGTAGGGCTTTAATTACATTGTAAGCGTTATGAAGTTCGCGGCGTCAGATAGTATATATTGATAAATTATGGTTAGTAACACTTCATTGGATTTTGAATTTAATTCTGAATTCAATAATCATCGCTAGATAGGGTCAAGTATGGCGTTCAATTCGCCAACTTAGTGTAAGATAAGATTGTTTTCATAAAAAATCGAATTTTGTGCTGGGACACATTGTAGAAGTGAAACTTCAACGGACAGCTCTCCCTCCACCACTGCCGCCTCTCACTGCGCGATATATAGTCTACCCCCTCCAGGCGCAGACCCCTCTTTCCCAGTGGGCACTTTGGGCAAGTGCCCAGGGCCCCGCGATCGATAGGGGGCCCCCTCAGATCAAATATAAAGTCCAAAGTTCTTGTCATATCATCAAACGATAACCAATATTTATTACCAAAATACTTATATAATCCGAAGAAATCGAACCTACATTACTGACTACAATACCAACTTACTAGCTTTTACATGCACGAAGCAATTCTACTCTCGTCCAAAAATAAGGCTTTCCGACTTCATCATGCTTAGATAAATTTAAATATATAGTGGTATACTAAGCACATACACATTTTAAAGAAAATTTATCAGTAGTGCACTTATCACTGTGACACGCTCCATTTCAAGTCATAAACCACATCAAAGTCATGGGGCCCCATTTTCCTTATATGCCCAGGGCCTCCATTAGGTTAAAGACGGCCCTGTCCACGCGGTCGTAACGCTTTTTCGTGACTATATGAAAGTGTCACTTTAATAAACTACATGTTTAATATTCAGAGTTTGCGGTAAAATGGAACCTGGCGACTCGCGTGTCGGTGACGCAGTCTCGTCGTTGTCTGCGCTGCTGCGTCACAGCGACGCTCGGGTCGCGGACGCCGCCCTGCGCTGCTTCGCCTCACTCGCTGATCGCTTTGCGCGCGCACACGCTGATCCGGCGCCACTCGCAGAACATGGTAATTAAACAAAATGCTTTTGAATTGTAAGATAGTTCTACTACAATGACTATTTTTTTATGAACTTCAAAGGATATGTATTATTTTTGTATGGAGGCTAGGCTATTGTAGTGAACAGCAAGGAAATTATATGTTTGTGATGGTACAAAAAAAAATCATCTTTTGCATTATTAAATTCTTTTGGAAGCACCCCTTTATTTCGCATGTATTCATCCAAAACATTAAAATTCTAATATTTTTTATTGTAAGTTTATTTATGATTGTTGTGAATAATTTAAAAAATATAAAAATGCATTTTTATTACATCTATTCGGAAAGAGCTAGTTCGATCTCTGGTCACAGGGACCAAAATAGTGTTTTAATCCCTAGGGACTAAAACTGATTTGAATTAGGAATGCGTATATTGTTAGTAAAGTTCCAATCACCGGAGAGTACAATCACAGCCATTTAATGAACAAGTAAAAGCAAAACCGCACGCTCGCCAAATAAAAAAAAGTTTGTGAAAAAACGCAAACGTCCGAAATACATTCCGCCTTCGTTCATAATCGTTTTCTCAAATTCGGATTTATTTGGTTTTGTAAAATGCGTCTTCCTCGAGTAGCGAGAATGGAAGTATGACAAACATGTGACACAAAGTCTTTTATCTACAAAATCCCGCAAACAATATAAACCCGCGATCAAAATTTCATCCTCTGAAAAAAAAAAACAAAAAAGGTGAAATCTTTTTCAGAAAATCTGTTTTTGACCTATTTCCAAAATTGTGTTGTTGTTTTTGTGTAAAAAACAATAAACGTACATTTCTTACATCTTCGTAGTTGCATTTACTTATTTTCTCATAGTAAGTAGTAGCTCCACTATTTGAAAGCTCGAGCGACGTAATTCGCTCTGCATTCAAAAACACTCACCTTTAAATAGTTTTTTGCTCTCTTAGTAAACATTCTACTATTCTTTAATCATCTAGAAATAAAATATTGAATAATATTTTGCCTTGTTATTAGGTTTAGGTTAGTAGTTATGCAAATATAAAATTGAATAAAAAAAATTTGGTAACCTTATTTTTATTTTATCTTATATGGTGCTTTTAATTTTTTTTGTTTTCGTAGAAGTATGGTTCTACACTAGACATTCTTCTGTTTCATCAAGAAAGCTTTCAGCTTTCAAAAAGAAATTAAGGCCAGAAAAATAACATGTCCTTCATTTCTACAATTTATACTAGAGAAGATTAACATTTTGACAATAATGTTGAAACTTTACAGGTCTCATAGAAGAGCTAGTGCGTCGTTTAGGAAGTACTGACAGTGGCGATGATAAGTGTCTTGCACCATCTGTTTCTACTACCGTTAGTCTATTGTCTACTCTTTGCCGTGGCTCTGCACAAATAACTCATGTAAGTGCTAAGAATTCCTGAGGTTACATTATTATTATTATATCTTACTAATATTATAAATGTGCAATTCTCTATGTTGGTACTCAATTACGCAAAATTATTTTATTAGTTCATTACTTGGAATGAGATATAGGAAACTTTTTATACTGGAAACATCATAGGTTCCTGTGGGATTCTCAGAAAAGTAACTTTTAGGGCTGTTTTACAACGGAATGGTAGCGATACGGCGAGCACTTTTTCACTGAAAACAGCGTGAAATTATTTTTAACTTTATTTACTTACATACTTAAAAAACTAGTATCGCAGTATAAATTGAAAAGTTCCGCGGTGTTGCGTGACTTCTTCAACCTTTTCAATATGTAGCTAAAGTTTAAAATTATTTCACTCTGCTTTCAGTGATGCTTCGCCCACACCTGCGCGAAGAACTTCGAGGTGGCTTTGCTACTAAATGCGCTAAAATTAGCGAACGAAATTGATTAAATGCTGTCGTAATAAATTAGTGGGCTGCCTGTCTATAGACGCTAGACAATCGCTTGACTGAGTGACGATAATTTGACATGCATTAAAGGGGTTTTCAGAGACGATAAATTTGTATCGAAGGAGGAAGGAGCGTATTTAATTCAAAGTTCGAACCATAATTTTAGCGCATTTTACTACCCATGTCACACGAAGCTACGGTACCCAGAATGTCAATTGCGTAAAGGGATGGCTATCGCTATCGCGGTAGCCATAGTCATCGCTTAAGGCAGCAGGCATAAAAATTTAGGCGGTTGAAGTCGCGGGCAGCAGCTATCATGTGGATTATTATAATTATTGATGTTCATGCATTTTCAGGATCTTGTTCGACTAGAGCTGTGTTCTGCAATCGAATCTGCTGTACAGGCAGATGAAAGATGGTGTTTGGAATGCATGAGACTTGTGGATTTATTACTTGTGTTATTATGTGAAGGACGACATGCTATTCAAGTGTAAGTAATATAAAAAATATGACATTCTTAGTTTCATCTTCCATATTTATTTATTTTAACCCTTATATATAGGATTTTAGGAAAAAAAAAACAGATTACTTCCAAAAACAAACTCGCCACTTAAAACATTTTACCTCTTTATAAAGTTAGTGTATATTAATTTTTATTTTTATAAAAACAATGTTTGTTGATACGCAAAATTTATTGATATTATGTATCAGAAGGCAAGATATATATAGATATTTTTTTCAAGAAACTATTTGCTTAATACATATTTTTGATAGAGGTAAAGTTAAGAAATTTTCCCAATGGCTGGTCATAGTAGCCAAAATTGTGTTGTCTGTAACTTCAATGTTTTTCAGAAGACATGTTAAATTGTTGGTTGTTGCTGCATCTTTTTACACTGATCATTCCATCGTTCCGGACTAGGCTGATGCAGTGGCTCATGCCCAGTTCTTCTTTTTCCATCCATAAGGAAAGCCAGTGCCCCAGACTGAGGTGCATCAATTTATCCCACCCCCACCTGATGTTAAGTGAAAGTGGAGTCCTGTCCCAAAGATAGATGATGCGCCGGAAAGTATGCCGGAACAGCCATCCTTACCTTGCCAGCCTGAACCCAATTTCCTACTCCGCTACAGTAAAATACCAAAGGGTAGTGTTATTTTACTGTGGAGGTGGAGGTTGCTTCCCTAGACTAGCTCTAATTCGAAAATCCTCTGTGCGCTCTCTTAACATTAGGTTGATGATAATAATGACACATAGGGGCGTTAATAATGACACAAATCATTTGCGACTTGGAATAGTTGATATTAGATCTTGATACGCGATCTCAAAATGCTTTTTAACTCTCGTTATATATACTGTTCAAGTTCCCACCGAATTCTGGGTGACGATTCGCACTCGCGAACGTAACGAATACGATGATATTGGTTCGTGCTTAGGGGCAGTTTAAAGATAAAACTTGAAAAATGTTTTTTCGTGCAGCAGGGGTTCGAATAAGGTGGGTTCGAGCGGGGCCGGTTGCGGCGAGGGTAGCAGTACGACCGCGGGTGCTACAACAGACAAGTCGCGAGCGGACAAGTCGCACCGGCAGCTGATCGACTGCATCCGCGGCAAGGACACGGACGCGCTACTGACTGCCGTGTCGAGCGGCGCCGTCGACGTCAACTTCACCGACGACGTGGGCCAGACGCTGCTCAACTGGGCCGCCGCCTTCGGCACGCGCGAGATGGTCGAGTTCCTATGCGAGAAAGGTGACAAGCGATCTTATTATTATATTCTTATATCTAAGAGCGATGTTTAAACTGCCGTGGCGGTGTAGTGCGTCAGGAATGTTTACGGAGAACACGGTTGATGATTTCTATGCTGTAATAAGAAAAAGAGCCGCTTCCTTTATGGATCGCATTAGAAAATGTTATGATTTAGTAATCAGCGCTGTGAATTACTGCTGTAAATATGACATTTGTGATATTTGACACCCTTGCCTGCTGGAAATCGATTTTATTTTATTTGAATTTATTTTTATATGCTTTTGATTTTATTTGATTGATAATTGATTTATGGCGTAAATTAAATGCATTGTAATAGGCTAGTTGCCTATATTTTAAAAAGTGGTTAATAATATACCTTGATGTTTATTTAACCCCAAAAAAATATTATTTTAAATAAAAAAGTACATTAGCAATATGTATTTTGTATTTTAAAAACTTATTCAAATTTCCGTCGAAAACGCTCTAGACTGTCATGGCGTCTAGAATGACGTCACGCCGTGCAAAGCAAACAATACGCTGTACGCCGACTATTAAAATTATTTAGTTAAAAATGAATCCATCGTATTACAAGTACTGTATAGTGCCCTAGTATAAAAGGAGAAGCATAAAACGCCAGACAAATTATTTATATGCCACAAATGCGGAAAAAATGGTTAGAATTTGCAAGGAGGGATGGTACCTATTCATTGTTTATCAACAAATACAAGAATAATTTTGTGATGAACATTTTGATGTAAGTATTTTGCATAACATAATCAATGAAATCAAAATGTTATACAAGCCGGATAAATTATATTGCTCTTTTTTTGTTGGTCTGAGTGCATTATATTGATAAAACAATGACAATAGGTTGAGGTTAGGTAAGCTGATTTAATTTTATGGTATGATTTAGAGTCTATTTGAGAGTTCAGTATATTTATTCATAATAATAAACACTTCTTATTCTTGTTCTAGTTGCCAAATGATATGCTTAATTATGTCGAGTAGTTATGCGATTAATTTTTTATTTTGGTTAAAATATTATTATTTGCTTCGGTAAATCCCAATTCCATGGATTTATTAGGCTTCCTTTCAATACTTTCTGAAAACAAACTGACAATTGTATCAAAGTAACAATAACATGAATGAGATATCAATGAAATGTATGGAAACAGCAACCACAAGTAAATTTTTGCACGTGGTGACGTCAGTCTTTCTGATTGGTGTTTGCCGTCACGTGATCTAATGCCTATTTTATTCGAATTTATTTTCTAAAAATAATAATAATCTTTAATTATTATGATAAATAGCTTTATTTTTTGTTATCTGTATATCATAATTCATATTTAGAAACTGTAACCCATTCGATTTATTGTTAGTTGACACAAGCCTATTATTTGAAATTTATACATTTTATTATTATTATTGTGATTATCAATCTTATTTTATTTTTTTCTATTTCTGTATGTAATATGGGTACTACGCCTGAAATAAATATTTCTTACATTCAGACCGATTAATCTAGCCCTCAAAGTAGGCACTGTAAGGCTTGTGTCATGGGATACTAGGGTAACGGATAGAATACATATATAAGTATATTGATCTATTTCTTAACCCTTTATTAATAAAGTAGCGGCCGCCAGCTACTTCGTACGCGTGGAGTTAGTTAGAAATAAAGGTTCACTGCTCGTTCCCCGTAGGTGGTAGCGTGATAATATGTAGCCTATATGTTGAACCGACTTCTTAATAATATTCGTGCCAAATTTGAAGTAAATCCATGCAGTACTTTTTGAGTTTATCCCAGACATACATACAGGCAAACAGACAAAAATTCTAAAAACTATATTTTTGGCTTCGAAGGCTTCTAGATCACGCCCTAAGTATTCTTTTAAAAAATATTCAATGTACAGTTTTTACTTTCTTACCATTTCATTATATGTATAGATGAAGAATAAGCTTAAGCTTAAGTTACGCCGTGTTTTGTTCATATTACTTAAATTCCATTTGTTATTCAATGAATAGAGACAAAACATGGATCAACTAATCGGGGCTTATTCTTCGTTTATTAATAAGGGGTTGAGGGTTCAGCCAGCGCTTGCAATGTAATAAATGTGTTTTTTTACGACATCACATTAGAAATCTCTAAAATAGGGTATTTGACAACTTGAAGACAATCTCACGTTATTTACTAATGTCTGGGATCCATAAAAACGGATGTTTCCTTTTTTAGTAAAATTTAACTTACTATAATATTTTTGTAGGTGCTGATGTAAATCGTGGCCAACGTAGTTCATCTTTACATTACGCAGCGTGTTTCGGACGTCCGGCTATTGCTAAAGTACTTTTGCGATATGGAGCAAATGCTGACCTACGAGATGAAGACGGAAAGACTCCCCTTGATAAAGCCAGAGAGAGACACGACCAAGGTAAATTGATTTACGTCATTTCTTTTTGTGTTCTATTTCAGCTCTATTTTTCCATTTATACATAATTTAAATCATATTTTCAATCAGGTCACAGAGAAGTGGCAGCTATATTACAATGCCCAGGAGAATGGCTTGTAGTTGGAAATCAGGACTCTCCTACTTCGACTAACGAAGATGATTTTCCTGAAACTGGTGACAAAGAGATGGCGGAGATATATCTAGAGTGAGTATGAGCACTTGTATGAATATTTACTGCGTCTACAGTTTTTTTACTCTCGTTGTCAACAAATCATATGAATTTTATCGCTATCCTTTGATGTGTGTGTGGCGATAGCGCAGCTTTTAAATAAAGGGAATGAGTGGTAAGATTGAGGTTAGGATATCGTAAGTTTAACCTAGAAACTTAATCTGAGGATAACAGGTTTATTACGGTCCTTTCACTGGTCAGGTGCTTGTCCGAAGTACCTGGTTCGTGCTAAATGTTGGGAGGGGAGGAGAGGAATATAGACAATAGGGAGGACATAAGAACCGAACTCACTGTGCACAACACGACACTTATCAAACTAGCAACAATAAACTAATTCATCAATATTGTTATGTACGGACGTAGCAATGAGACAACCGTTCAACGTAAACTGATTTATTATGCATCCACCGCCGGGATGCGACATTAGATACACAACACCTTTCCTTCCTAAAATAAAACTATTTATTCTATATGTTAAGATAATAAATAAGCAAAAAACTAAATATACTTATAAACAATTAATTTCTATTAATGTAAATACGTGTAATTAAACCTAAGCAACGATCGAAATTAATACACTTGTATTACTAATATAAACATTTTAATTCCTTACATGTCTAATTGCTTACGTCTGCAACAGTGTATTATGTATTCGTATATATCTGAATACTTGAGACTAACAAATTTTTATTTATACAGTCAGTCACACTTTTTTTAACTTGATGAGATAAGACGGCGGTGTATGTGCAGTGTAAAGTGTAGCTTATTTATTTTTGAGTTCTAATAATTTCACGACAACGTGTAGCAGCTTCCCTGCGCGGTCTGTTAGCACCACGCACAGGCGAAGACATCGGCGACGGCGCGGGCTGCTGCGGCGACGTTCTTTCCGGCGCGTCTTCCTCCGCACTATCAAATGAGTCGTCATTACCATCCAGTATGTCATGAGTGGAGATAGAACTTGACTGATTAGGCGAACCATCTACCACCTGACTGAGTGAGTGACGTGACTTTCTAGTAAGGATTTGGTCAATGTATCGCTTATGTACGCGGCCGCCAGTGGTTGCCACATTATACGACACAGGTCCTACTCGTTCACGTACAACACCCTGTGTCCATTTACGGCCTGACTTGGAGTAGTCACGCATCAACACTGGATCATTTTGCTGAGCCACTCGTAATGGTACGTTACCACTTCGCCCTTCCTCTATCAGCTGTCGCTTGCGCACGCGTTCTGCTGTGTCGGGTCGCAGTAAATCCAGTCGCCCGCGCAGCCGTCTGCCCATCAGAGCGACTGCGGGTTCGCATCCCGTCGTGCTCTGTTCGGTATTTCTATACATGAACAAAAATTGACTTAAAGCTTGGTTTATATCACGATTTTCTAATTCTGATTTTTTAAGCACTCTTTTTATTGTGCGTACGGCATTTTCTGCAGCTCCATTGCTCGACGGATGATACGGTGGTACTAGAGTGTGATTAGTACCGTTGCATTTCAAATAACGTGACGCTGACGAAAACGGTGGTCCATTGTCGCTAACTATACGTTTTGGTAAACCAAAGCGAGAAAAGTGGCATCTCAAACAATCACAAACAGCATTGGCTGAGGTTGAGTTAATTTTCTCTGCTTCGATCCATTTTGAGTGCGCGTCAATAATAATAAGATAATAATTATTATTGAATGGACCAAGGAAATCTAGATGCAACCGTGACCACGGCTCTGCCGGCCAGGGCCACGTGTGTAGGGGGGCGGCGGGGGGCGCCGGTCGCAGCTCCCTGCATGGCACACACTCGCGCCCGACCTGTTCTATATCTTAGTCTATGTTTTCCCACCACACGTAATTACGCGCGATTTGTTTCATTTTGACTATGCCCGGGTGGCCTTCGTGGATTTCTTTCATAATTGAATTTCTTAGTGTCCAATATGGTACCTTATATAAAATGTTTACTCCATTGTCCCATAGATGAATTACTGTATTAATTTGTACTCACGGTATGGTTTAGTTCGATTGAAATATATAAGGTTTAAATAATTTCGAAATAAATTGTCTATACGTTCCGGAATCTAGTTTTATTTATTGAACTACTGCATTCCTGGCTTGGGGACCTTAGTACAAGGTCCTTACGAGTCGGAGCGTTTTTTTGAAGAATCAAGCTGAAGTCTTTCACAAATCGCAGTTGCTATTGTTCAATGTAAATAAAAGCGGATTTTCAACAGCGTGTTTTAGAAGTGGAAAGATTACTTTAATAGCGACATCTAGCGGTGAAAAGGAGCAACAGACATTGGAACTAGGAGTTGATGGACCTGGAAGTTTAAGCATTGAATTAAGATCGGTTGGTAAAATACAAGGAAAACTGTGAGTACGATTTTCGTCCTTAAAGCTTAGTATTAAAAGACTTAGAAAAAATAGAGAAGATAAGAGGACTTAGAAAGTTTAGAGCTATAGTAGCTGAGACTTAGAATAGTTTCGCAAAAAACGATAAGACGGGGAACCTATGCCCAATTTTAGAGCGAAATATTCTAGTCTAAAGACAGAAAATTTTGACGAAAATATTCACATTCATACTTCACATAGAACAATAATTCGAAACAACATTTATACACAATGGATGCTGACCTAAGAGTAATGGATGACCTGTATAAGCAGATAGAGAAAGGAAAATTGAATTTTAAAAAATCTCCGAAGGAAAGAATTATAGAGCCATATGTTACTGCCAGATTAGAAGGTTTAGAGAGATTAATCAAGAACTTTGATGAAAAACATGAGAAGATTATTTCAACTTACCTTCCTGAGGAGTTGTCAGCAAGCAATTATGTTAAAAATGATGTTTTTTAAATGGGTTATGAATTGTACTTAGTTTATAAAGCAGAATTAAGCGCCGCGTTAAAATCAAATAAGTCACAAATCGTCAATAGTTCTTGTACGGTCTCATCACGTTCATCAAGACGACCTCCGTGGCCGAGTGGTTTGTACGCCGGGTTTCATGGTGTCGCCGACTCGAGAGGTTCGAATCCCGGTGGGGGCAGATGTAAGTGTGATGAATACGAGCATTTGTACTCCAGTCATGGATGTTTAATATGTATTTCTATATAAATATACTTATATATGTACAGTATATGTATTCTATCCGTTACCCTAGCATCCCATAACACAAGCCTTACGGTGCTTACTTTGGGGCTAGGCTAATTGGTGTGAGTGTTGGACATATTTATTATTATTATTATCACCGCACATACTGAGCTGACATAGCGACCTACTTTGGGTCGCGCGTCATAATAGTTAATTTTATTGATATTATATATTAATTACACGAGTACGTTAAGAGCGCGCATTCGAAACAGTCAAGCAAAGAATCACCTACTAACATTTTTATCTGTATTTACGTTCGGCTACAATAAATATACATATCTAACTTTGGTGACTTCTTTACCTGCGTACTACAAACAACTATCATCTATCAACATCTAAAAGGTGTACGTGGTCACATTGGCTCGTACAGTTCTGACTTCTGATTCACCTGATGTAAAAAACGAGCCAATTGTTAGATTGCCTAAAATTTCTCTGCCGTTTTTTGCTTGAAAATATACAGAATGGCCATCATTCAGAGATTTGTTTAGTTCTTTGATTATTAACAACTCGTCACTGGACAATGTTCAAAGATTACACTACTTAAAGACGCAAGTAAAAGGTGAAGCGGAACAATTGATTAAACATATCCCTATAACACAAACTAATTTTACAAAATGTTGGGAACTATTGCAAAATAGATATAATAATAAAAGGTATGTATCTAATTGTGTACTTAAGAGGTTGTTTGGTCAGCGTACTATGAATTGTGAATCTGCTCAAGGTTTAAAGGATCTTCTTGATACCACATCTGATTGTATTCATGAACTGTCAAATTTAGATATACCGGTAAAACATTGGGATGTTATAATTCTATATCTTGTAAGCTCTAAATTGGATCCAGAAACTCGTAAACAATGGGAATTATATGTACACGATTTGTCTGCAGATTTACCATCTTATACTCATTTTACAGACTTTATAGAGTCGCGATTTCGCGCATTTTAGTTTGTAGAGCCTACAAGGAGTAAACCGAAATTCAATACTTCCGCTCCTAACACAAAGGTATTACACGTTACGGCCGATGTCACCTGTCCTCATTGTAATGAAAATCATAAGTTGTATGCTTGTGGCAAATTTTCCCAAGAAGATGTAGCAAACCGCTATGAGATAGTTAAGTCGCTTCGTCTTTGTTTTAATTGTTTAGGTAAAAATCATTCAGGGAAAATATGTCGATCTCCAGTTAAATGTCGCAAATGCAAGGGTAAACATCACACGCTGCTCCATGGCAAACCTAATCCACTTACTGTAGCTGTAGCAACTGAGACACCAGAGAATGTAGTAAATGAACCGGAATCGTCCATGGCGACGAATGAGACCACTGATATAACGAACCATTTATTGGCAGGAAATGTGTATAACCAAATCTTATTAGCCACAGCTTTGATAAAAGCTGAGTCGATAAATGGTCACCCTCAGATATTGAAAGCCTTGTTAGATCAAGGATCTCAGGCGTCTTTAATATCTGAAGCAGCTGTGCAACTGTTACGGCTGAGGAAGATTGCTTCTAAGAGCAATATCTCAGGATTGGGTGCGAAGAAGAGTGACTTAACCTCAAACTATGTGGTTATGGTCGATATTCAGTCGCTCTACGATCCATCCTTCAAATTCCAAGTGAAAGCACATGTTTTAAACTCAGTCACTTCTAAATTACCAGAAAAGAAATTTATCTTACCTAAGTGGACCGAGATCGGTCGCTTGCAACTGGCAGATCCCCAGTACAATACACCTAATAAAATAGATATTTTGTTAGGGTCTGAAGTTTATTGCAATATTTTAAAGAAGGGCTTAATTAAGAGTTCAACGGGTTCTACAATAGCGCAAAATACATACTTCCGATGGGTACTGTCGGGC